AAAAGAAATGTGTAGCACTTGAAGAATATTATATAATCCTAACCCTCCTCTCCTCGCCGCATCATTTACGTACATGAAATTCAAACAAGTTTACCATCTTACAAGTTACACCTGAACAACCGAATTTCTTGTACTTCTCTCCTTGTACAAAACCCCGTTTCATTGACAACCTGAAAGATGGTTTAGAACAAACTGTTGTAAGAAAAGCAATCCTGAACGGAAGACCTGCACACTGCCAATGTTGTTTGGATTCTGGCTCCTAAAATGGCAATGGCAAAAGTACTTGTTCATACTTCAACTTGCTAGAATATGACTTTTGAGGTGTCCAACATCGTTTTTATAGGAAAAATATGTCTACCTTATATGGCTCTCCTCACATCAATTAATTGATTTTGAAATGACACCTCATTTGGGCTTCATCTAGGCCCTCACTGCTTATGGTGCGCTTCACGTGTATGGGACCGCACTCGTCAACCTCATTTCTTACACAACTGGAACTCAATTAACATATATAAATCATGTTTTCCGCTCATAATTTTTTAAAGGAAATTATTTTAACCTCCAAAAGTATGTCATTTCATAGAGAGTTAGTCATACAATTTTCTTTTTTGACAATTTGTCTCTTCGGTTGAAAACCCTAATATAGCACGGAAAAGCAATGTTTTGAAAACCTAACCGGTCATCGAACCGGTGAAGCTACTAGTTTAATGGTTCACTGGTCGAATCAGTGGTCGAACCGGTTGAATTAATATATAAATTTTTTATTTATTTTATATGTATAATATATAATTGCATATATTTTTATCATTAAGTTTATAATTTATAATGATATTTATCTACATACTAAATAATTGTATATATTTTTTATCATTTGTTTTATATGTATAATATATAATTGTATATTTTTATCGGAATAAACGTTAAAGTGTTAAATTTATTATGTAAGCTTTGTATTTATTTTGTAAATTCTAAATTTTTACATATATATTTTTTAAATTCTAATTTAGTAAGTTTTTGTTTTTTTTTTTTTTTTTT